TTTCCCTTTCCTTCCATAGCAGCATCGTTTGCAGCATCAATGGTGGGATCATACAGGGAAGTAACGTGATAAGAAAGGATGTGGTAGGGTTCCTTGATCATTTGTGTTTCTTAGAACACCATTGCCTTCTTGATGCATTTCAAGCAAATTTTAGTTTGAACCCAAAGTGTGGCTTACGGGACAGCCAGTGCCCACCACCCCACCCTTTACTCAGTCATAGATGTACACTCACCTGTATTCACCTTGGGCCTTGAATTTCCACACATAGAGGGTCCACTAGAATTCTGTGCTCATGGCCATTGCGAACACGGTGTGTGAGGGGCAGCAGGGACGGAGCAGACACATGTGGTGATGTTGTGTGTATCACCTCTGCTCGCATGCATGTTCCGTTGTGCCATCAGACTTCACTTACAAGACACAAGTTCAAAGAGAAAATCATTAAGGATTTCAAGATGGCAACAGCAGAGCATCATACCAAGTGCGGGGCCTTATGTGACTGCCGGGTCACACACCTGTGAAGCCAGCCCTGCGTGCTGGCATCCCGTATTTGGGGGACTCTGTCACTCGCAAGTCCCGTCTGTTCCTCATGCCCCCTTTTCACTGTGTAGCCTGGGATGGCCTGGAATGGGGGCAGGTGGAGGGAGGGAGTGTGGTCAGCTCATCCAGCCTCACCACTGCCTGCTTCCTCCACCGAACAGCCAAACAGAACCTTCTATACTTTCCCTAAGTAAACCCTGCTGTCTGCTGCCTCTGGGCCTTGGCCTATTGTTTCCTCTACCCCAGTTGTTCTCAGAGTTGTGGTCCCTGGGTCAGCAGCATCAGCATCAGCTGGAACTTGTTAGAAATGCAGATTCCCGGGCTCCACCGCAGACTGGCTGAGTCTCAAATACTGGGATGGGGCCGAAGAATCTGGTCTTCAGCAAGCCCCGGGCATGACTGCGACACACCGCTGCTCTTCCTGAAATACTGTTCCCACCTCACTGCAGCTTCCTAACTCCTATACCCCTTTCACTGAATAAACCCCGCACCCTCAGTTCTCTTCTATGGATTCCTCAGCTCACATCTCGCCTGGTGAGCTTGGGGGTGTTTCTGTCTCATTCTCCCTCTTGTCCTGAGTACTGAGCAGGGCAAACAGCACACAACAAGCGATGGTGGAGTCGCACTGACTCAGGGGCTGACTGAGGGAGTGGAGGCGTGGGACCTGGGCTTCACGGAGGGTCTGGGCTCGAGGGGCAGGGCTGAGCACAGACGTCCCGTCCTGCAGGTACAGCCTGTACACCCGCACCTGGCTCGGGTATCTCTTCTACCGCCAGCAGCTGCGCAGGGCTCGGAATCGCTACCCCAAAGGCCACTCCAGAACCCAGCCCCGCCTCTTCAATGGTGAGCTCTGGCCACGCCGGGCCAGCATCGCCCCAAGCCGTGGCCACCCTCCCAGCCTACTCCCCATCTCATACCCCCGACTGCTGGGCTGCCCGCCCCATCACCCCGCCCACAGCCCATCTTTGTTCCCCAGGAGTGAAGGTGCTTCCTATCCCCGTCCTCTCAGACAATTACAGCTACCTCATCATCGACACCCAGGCCCGGCTGGCTGTGGCTGTGGACCCTTCAGACCCTCAGGCCGTACAGGTGAGGGGAGGATGGGATCGGGGGTACCTGGGGTCACCTTGAGGACTGGCAGCTTCTTGCTAGAGAGAGGCTGACCCTGCCCTCTGCCAATGGGATGTGCTCCCCTCCATGTGCACTCACACACAGACCCTGACACACATGTGCACAAAGAGACCACCACAAACACACCATGGGGAGGGGCTCAGTGTCAGGGCATGGGGGGGGAGGGGGAGGGCAGCAGTGGGGGGATCAGAGCCAGAGGGCAAGAGGTGCTGACCCAGGTCTGCGGGTCTGGGGAGTTTTCTTCCGCCTCTCACTCTCTGTGGCCCCCTTTCTGACCCTCGCTCTTCTCTCCTCGCCTCTGTCTGTCGTGTCTGGGCGTCTTTATCATTCCCTCTTGTTACTTATTTATCTGTGTGTGCGTGTGTCTGTGTGTCTACCCCCTCCACGAATCTCCCTCTCGCCTGTGCCCAGGCTGGGGCTCAGCTGCCCCACTTTACCCAGCCCTCTCTTCCCCACCCCCTTCTCGTTCTCTGGCTTCACCGCCTCCTCCTCCCTCATCTCTCCCTGCTCGCCTCGCCTCGCCTCTCCACCCAGCACCCATGCCCCTGTTTCCCTCTGCATCCTGTTCCTCAGTCTCACTGCCCCCTCTCTCCTCTAGGCTTCCATTGAAAAGGAGGGCGTTAACTTGGTTGCCATTCTCTGCACCCACAAGCACTGGTAAGGGGCTGAGGTGGGAGGTCCGGGTGCAGATCATCTTCCCTGGCTGGCCCCTGCCCTGGCTGGGCTTGCCAGGACTGGGTCCCGCGAGAACAGGCTGGGCTGAGAGTCAAGAAGTCAGTATGGGTGGACACCATCCTCATGAAGTCACTGGGGCACCAGCAGAGAGGGAGGGGGAGGGGCGGGTCCCCCACTGCTCTACTTATCAAGCTTCTGAAGCTCCAGAGGAGGGTAGGGCAGGCATTTACCCTCCATTCCGTGTGGGCGTGTGTGCCAGGCATGGGCAAACCTTGTGATCTCTAACATCAAGGAGCTTATAGTCCAATAGGGGAGACAGCCCTGTATGAAAGTGTACAGCGATGACAAACAGTAACAACTGTGACAGTTGGCACAGGGTACGGGGGCAGGGGCAACAGGGAGGGTGTGATCAGATTCACTTGGAGGAATTAGAGGCTGATGACCCTGGAGCTGAGAGTCCAGAAGATCAGTTGGCATTAGTTGGTGATGAGGGGAGGGGTGGCAAGTTGTTGGGACAACATTCTGGGCAGGGGGACAGCTTGAACTAAGGCCAGAAGAGGTGTGGACAGCTTGGTTCAGTCCAGAAGCCAGGAGTCCCAGGGCTCAGAGGCCTGGAGACGCTTGGGGAAGACGGAGGAAGGAGGCCCAGTACAGTTGCCCCTTAAAGACCCTGCCTGTCTGTGCCATCCTACAGGGATCACAGTGGAGGGAACCGTGACCTCAGCCGGCGGCACCAGGACTGTCGGGTGTATGGGAGCCCTCAGGATGGCATCCCCTACCTCACCCAGTAAGTCCTTGACCCAGGGATGGGATGGCCCTTGTGGGCCCTTCCCCTCACCCCCCATCCTTTAGTCACATGTTTCAGGGGTATCAGCAGGTGGATCTTTGCTGATGCCCTTCCTGGCCCTTAGAGAGTAGATCACAGCCCATCTGAAGACTGCCACTGCCCATCCCCCAAGTGATCCAGCCATAGTCCCCAAAAGAGAAAGCAGGAGGGCTTGGGTCTGAAGTCCTGGGTACTAGGGGTGCCTTCTCTCTCTGGTGGCGAAGCCCCCATCCTGTACATCACCCATTCCCTTGGGCCTGGGCAGGGCGGGGGAGGGAGGATCAGCATGGCACAAGCTCTAGAGCCTTCTCTCCACTATTGCCTCGCTTCTCAGTCCCCTGTGTCATCAAGATGTGGTTAGTGTGGGACGGCTTCAGATCCAGGCTCTGGCCACCCCTGGCCACACACAAGGCCATCTGGTCTACCTGCTGGATGGGGAGCCCTATAAGGGTCCCTCCTGCCTCTTCTCAGGGGACCTGCTCTTCCTCTCTGGCTGTGGTGAGTCCCCCAAAAGGGAAGAGGGAGGAGGGGGGACAAGAGGGAGGGAGAGAGGCCAGAGCAAGGGCCCAAGGACAGCCACAGCTCCACGCAATGCATGAAAACATTGGTTTCAGTACACGTTGCCTCGGCAGCTACTCCCACCTTTGTTACCTCGATTTTTCTTTTATATCCTCACGACTTTCCGCGGGGGATGGACAGAATGAGACGATGCCTGTAACTGAGTAGAGACCTCGAAGGGCATTTGTTTCCACTGGGTGGAGCCTGGTTCTCTGATACAGTGACTGGGAAGACTAGTTACAAAAACTTGAGAACCCCTGAGTGAGAGGGTGATCCTGTCGGTGGGAGGCTCACAGGTCCCAAGGTGCATGGAGTCCCAAAGACAGCACAGGCAAAGAAAGAAGTGCTCTACGGAAAAGAGCAACCCTATATCGAGGGCTTGGAGCCACAGAACTCAGCCTGAAGGTTCTGCAGCCCCCTCTATCCACATGTCAATATGTGCAATGGAGGCCTTCAGATGGGCTCAGTTGCGGTTGAATATTTGAGCCCAGCTCCCAGAGGGAGGGAAGGAGTAGATGCCAGGGAAGTGGGCATGGCAGGGGAATGGCTGAAGGCTGGTGGCCAGCCCCAGCTGTACAAGCTGGTCCCCACCCTTTCCATGTACCTTACCGTGCTGTGTGGTTCTTGTACCTTTACACATACCTTCTGACCCTACCAGGACGGACCTTTGAGGGCACCGCAGAGACCATGCTGAGCTCACTGGACACCGTGCTGGGGCTGGGGGACGACACTCTGCTGTGGCCTGGTGAGGTGCCCCTCCCTCTCCTCCTAGCCCCTCACACCCCCAGAGTCCCAGCCGACTCACCTCCTGGCCCAGAGGGGATACAGCCTCTGGTGGCTCCCTCTAGCAGTGGGCGCAGAGCTCCCTTCTGTTTGCAGAACTGGCTCTGTAAGGCCTCTGCTTCCCTGGCAACCAGCCCACGGTCTCTTGGGAGCCCTGTAGGTCCCAGAGCATCCCTGGGAGATGGCTGATTTTTCAGAGCCAAAGCCTAGAACAGAAAATTGCCTTTGCTTAACGAGCAAAGAGGGGCCTTAAATCCATTCTGCATGGATCATTGCCTGCATCCATCATCCACACACTGCACGTCCATCATCCATATGCACGTACATGGAATATCCATCCATCCATACGTACGTGCATGTGTACATTGCATATTCATCGTTTCTAAAACACATTTACTCATATCTCAGTTAATCCTCAGAACATATATGCATCCATTCATTCATTCGACAAATACTTTATTGAGCACCTAACGTGTACCAGGCCCTGTTCCAGGCACCAGGAACACATGATTTTATAGTGGCATTATTATTTTCCCCACTTGCCAAAGGAGAACATTGTGGCTCAGAGAAGTGCCATGACTCGACTGAGGTCGCACAGCTGGGCAGAGCCCGACGGGCTAGAATGCGGGTCTTCTGGCTCCAGGTCTGGTGGTTTTCACCCCTGAACTGCTTCTGCCTCTTCACTTGTGGCTGACTTGTGCCCACACTTAGAGAAACAGCCCCGTGTGGTCAGGGCTTTTCTGGAAGCACTGCCCCTCCTCCCCAGTCATCAGGTACCCCTAGGCCTGCGGCTGGGGAGGACTTTTTCTGACCGTACCACCCATCTCACTCTGCCCTGTGTCTTGGCCCCCACGGCCATCCCTAGGCCACGAGTACGCGGAGGAGAACCTGGGCTTTGCAGGCGTGGTGGAGCCCGAGAACCTGGCCCGGGAGAGGAAGATGCAGTGGGTGCAGAGGCAGCGGATGGAACGCAGGAGCACGGTGCGGGGCTTGGGGTCCAGGAGGGGCCAAGGGCACTCCTGAGAGAGGTCTCATCCCTGCGGGCCCTGCAGGGCCCTCTCTAGAGCTCCGACATATTTGGCACAAGGGCCTTCCAGTGAGAACTTCTGGACCCTGGGATGGGGCGGTGCGGGGGTTCTTCCCTTGTTGGGTCTATTTTCCAGATTCTCCCCACCAAACCCGGGTGCCTCTCCCCCACAGTGCCCGTCCACCCTGGGAGAGGAGCGCTCCTATAACCCGTTTCTGAGGACGCACTGCCTGGTGCTGCAGGAGGCTCTGGGCCCAGGCCCCACAGGAGACAATGGCTACTCCCGGGCCCAGCTCCTGGAGAAGCTCCGCCAGCTGAAGGATCTACACAAGAGCAAGTGACCCCACCGAAGCCCCGCCCCCCCGCCCCCCCCCCGTGGTGGGGAAGCCACCCACCATGGCCCACACCACACCTTCCCTCTCACTGCTTCCACCACCACCTCCGTCAGCCCGTCGAGCCGGCACCACACCCCGACGTGGGTCCCGGGCAGAGGAGGGACAAGGCAACGAGAGCCTGAGACCGAGAGGAAGGGGGCTGACGGAAGGCTTGGAGACTCCGTGGGGTGAGGCTGAGCCATCGAGGGCAGAGCTAATCGGGAACCTCCCCTCCTCCCTTCCCCTGTTCCTGTGATGGCAGTGAGGATGAAGAGGCCTCACTCTCACTGTAGCCTCTGAACTCAGGGCAGCAGGAGCCATGAACAGGTTGAGTCCATCTTCCCCCTCCTCCCATCCAGGGTAGGGAA